ATGGCAAAGGCTGCAGTGCATTGGCAATAACTCAGAATGAGTGGGGCTGTCACAGATATGAGCTGGTTAAGGGTGTTTTTGGTGCGTGGCTGGGATTTTCTTTGTTTAGAAATCTGCATTCAGCCTACATAACTGTTCTGTATATCCTGCCTCAAAATGTTGAAAGTGAGACATCGTTGTTTCTCTGCTCCAAAATCCCCTGAGGGGCTGTCTTCCACAATGACCCAGAACATAACTTTAAGTCATCTGCTGATGTCTCCTCTGCTTTCCTCTTCTGCACTTCCTAGCTGTCATTGCTCTTCCGGTTGGAAAGGGGCTTTCTGCATGGAGATCGTTTCAGCGTGTGATCCTGAGCACAACCCACCGCATAGGTGCAAGCGAGGTTCCACCTGCGTCCCTCTGCCTGACGCATATACCTGCCACTGCTCACTGGGAACCACTGGAGCACACTGTGAACAAGGTATGGTCAAAACCTCCATGAAGACTGTGTCACATGGTGCCACCCTGTGCTTGTGTGTGAAATGCAAATTGAAATCAGGGTTTTTCAATAGAAGGCACCAACGACTTTTTATTATTAAAAGGCAGAAGAGTTCTGCTTTACTGCAGCCTAACACCAGGCAGGCTATTAAATCCAAACTAAACACGCGGCACTACAGCCATCTCTTAAAGAGGATCTCTAAAGCAAGAGGGGTTTTTATTTAAGTACAAAATGAGAGCAAGATGGGGTGGTTGCTGAATCCTCTCTAAACTCTCCACTTATCACTCTACAGCCCTCACCCTGCATATCTGAAGAAAAACCACCAGAGGGAGCCCTGCAGGGAGATAAGCCCCAATGGGAAAAATCCCCTTTTGCAATAGTAGCTTTGCCACAGTCACATTAGTCTGGGTTCTTATGATCTCAACTTTAAACACACAAGATTGAAGTACATATGCAAATCTCTACAAATCTTTTAAATAAATAAATAGTCATCCAACAAGTTCAGGATCTTTTATTTTTTTTTTAAATTTACTCAGTTTGTATAGCTGCTGTTCTCTCCTCAGGGACTCTGGGTGGCTCACAACAATTAGAAACAATAGCACAAGCCAAAAACAAATGAATAAAAATGAGCATACAAATCATCGATAAATAATATTTTTATTAAAGTTTTACATAGATAAAAGCTAATACAGAACTAATAAAGATATACAAACCAAAGAGAGAGAGAGAGGAAAAAAGAAAGAGAAAAAGAAAAAGAAAAAGAAAAAGAAAGACATATAAAAAGTGACTCCCCCCTCCCTCCAAACAAGTATAAATATTTGCAATAACACCATCTCTGGTATTACAGAAAAAAAAACTCTTCTTCCCATTTCTCATCCCTTAACAACAGCCAAATTATTTTTTAAAAAATCATCAATCTTACTCAGCAAAAGCATTAAGAGTACTAACCTTAGACAAACATATCCATTATACATTTTGACTTACAACTTTCTCTAATAAGTAAAACATAAAAGGTTTATCCCCACAGGCATAAAAAATACCAATAGTAATAACATATATATCTTAAACTAAATCAAGTAGGTGCCTTTTACATTCTAATCTATAATTTTCTGTAACAAATAGGACATAGAAAGTTTATCCCCATATGAAAAAATCTTTAAATCCTCGTCTTAGTCCTGGTCAAAAAAAAAAAGATTCCAATAATAACAACCCAAAATCACCACTTACACAATTTAACCCTG